CCTGGTTGTTATAACTAGTAATCCTGTTCAGAAGGAAAAGGACTGTCTGACCTGACTTGAGCCTGTCCTATTTGATGACTTGTTCCTCAATTTCCTTGACCTTTCTGTAGCATTTTGCACCACTGATACGTCTTATTCTCTAAAACTTTTAGATGTTCTCTCTTTTCTTCTTTTTCTGACATTACTCTTTCTTGATTCTTATCTTACCTGTCTGACTAGCCTTTCCTTTGTCTCCACAGTTCATGTCCCCTCTGCCATACTTTAAGTGTAGGTGTCCCCAAATGCTCTGTCCTTCTTTCTATATATATTTCTTCTCTTGGTAATCATATCTACCACTCAAGCTTCAATTTTCACTTATTTGCTAATGATTTCTGAATCTATATATTTATTCTGTTCTCTCCCCCAAGTTATAGAATAACATTTCCAATGCTTATTGGACATTTTCATATCTATATGCTTGCAGTATCTCAAAGTTAACCTGTTTCAAAGGAAAGACAACCTAATATGTCCCTCTTCTCAACTTGTCCATTTCTGTTAATGATATGATCATTCATCCAATTACTCAAACTAAAAACTTTGAAGCCATCTTTGGTTCTTCCTTCTCCCTCTGCCCCAATATGTAATCAGTTACTAAGCCGTGTAGATTCTATATCCATTATCTCTTTCATATGTCTTCTTTCTTTTTTTTTTGGGGGGTAAGGTGGAGTATAGTCTTTCTTTGCATCCCCAGTGCACAGCAAAATAATAGCTACCTGATAAATGCTTGTTGACTTCACTTGTTGATTCTCTAATCATTCAGGCCATCAAATTTGACACCTGGACTATTACAATAGCAGTATATCTGTGCTCCCTATTTCCAATCTTTTTCCTTTCCAATTCGGCCTTCAAACAGGTGCCAAGTCAAACTTCCTAATACCTTGACTGGTCATGTCCTTCCTTTGCTCAGAAAATAACAATGGCCACATAGAATTAAATATGGATCTGTTACTTAGATGCTTCCACAAACTAACTTTAAATTACCTTTCTATCCTTATTCTATAATGCTTCATTTTATACATTCTATGTTTCATCCAAACTTGATCACTACCTATTCTTTAGTCCTGTCCTGCCCTTATTTACCTTCCTGCTCTATGGAGATTGTGAGGAATATCTCTTTCCTAGAAGATACTCCCACATGGCTTGCCTGTTTAAATCTTTCTCTTTGACACCTTATTCAGGCCTAATATGCTTTACATGAGGAGCTTTCTTTCATCTCCACTACCATCTGAAACTCCTCAAATTTTTTTCAAAGCATGTTTATATTTGTCATCATTTTCTAGAACCACATTCTATCAAGAGTCAAAATTTTCTTCCACATACATTATTCTACCTCCTGTTAAGCCACCTGACACCTTTTAATTTTTTTTCCCCATATTTGGTATCTTCAGTGACTTATACAGAGTCAAGGGCACCAGAGGCATCTAATAAATACTTTTGAATTGAATGGAAGAGGAAAAGGAAACATAAGAATTAGAAGTTGAAATGGATTTAGCTGAAAAAGCAATGGAGAAAGAAAAGGGCAAGGAAATAGGAGGAAGGGGAAAAATTGGGGAAAAGAAGAAAAGGATGGAGAAGATGAGGAAGGAGAATAAAGAATATTATGAGAATGAAGAGGAAGAGGACAAAGAAAGGATAGTGATAAACATGGCCAGCAGGAAGAGGTGGAGAGTGATGTACTTATTTTGAGTAAATTGCTGAATTGTATCATCAGAAGCAATAATATTGCTTTGGTAGACTAAAAATTGTCATCATTACCTAACAAAATCCTTACTTCTTCTTGGAGGATATTCTCCAGTGTTTGGGCCAGGAGAGAAATTACTATGTCTAATTTCAGGGCACATGGTAGGAATAGAATATCACCAAACATTCAATATAGCATTTCCTTGTTTATTGTTTTCATCTCCTTTTGGCATATTTGAAAGGATATATTCAGCCTTTCTCAACTATTCCATTAAATTCACAATTAAATCATAACTTTTGGAAAGGAATCAGGCAAAACCACAATTCAGGTTTTTCCCTTTTATTTAAATAGAAATGTAACATTTTTCTCCCCCACTTTTTGTAATCTTCTTTTATTAATTATTGATATTGAATTGAGGTTCAATTGAGTTTCCTAGTGGAGCTATAAGAAGCAAGTGCATGTCAAAATCCACAGCAAGCCCTTTTCAGTTAGAACATGATAATGTATTATGTACATTAACTGTAATCAGTGGAGGCCAGAATATCATAATTTTCTCTCCTTTTAATAGCCAGCATATATATGTATATACATGTATACATATATACATATATGCATACATATATGTAGCACTTTACAATTAACAAAGTGCTTTACAAATCTTATCTCATTTTATCCTTGCAACAAACCTGGGATGTGCTATTACTCCCTGTTTTACAGATGAGGATATTGAGTTAGGCAGAAGTTAAATGATTTACCCAGGGTCACACATCTAGTAAGCATCTGAAGATGGATTTGAACTCAGGAATTCCTGAGTACCACCCAAGTACCATAATTTAGCCAAGGCTAATCACCTCGCAGTACTGAGGTAAATTATCTTAAAAGAGCTACTCAAATGATGTGGGGGAGTACATATGCATCATGGAAAATTATACTCGGAGTAGTGGTTCCTCTGTCCTCAATTCTATTCTATCCAAATACTGATTCTAGGAAGGACTGGGCTTACCAAAAATCAGTGTTTTGATTTGATCTGATGACAGATCACACTCTCCAGAAAAGTTCTATTCATTACTTATCGTAAGTACCTGATAAATACTTCTCCATTAGGTATTCATTATAAAGCAAAGAAACAAACAAACAAAAAACTTAAGGCATTGTTTTAATAGTTAGCTTTCAGATTCAATAGAGATTGACTCATAGTATGTGGGTATAAATGGGCTTTTAGAGGCCATTTGGTCCAATTACTACTCATCCAATGAAAGAATTATTTTCTTACCATATTTGACAGGTTGTTTTCCCCTATTAATTACTTGACTCAATAGTCCCTTGTATCATTCAACAGTTTTAATGGTTAGAAAATTCTTACTATGGAGCATAAGTCTACCTTTCACATCCACTCATTTCTCAGTTCTTTCCTGTAGAGCTAAATTGCAGAATACCCTAATTTGAATACCAATCCAGAATAGAGTCCTTAAAAGTGTGAAGATAAATAGGATGTCTTTACTCATTTGTCAGTTTTCCAGGGTAAATATTTCTTTAACCATTTTTTAAATGACATGTTTTCTATACGCTGCATGGTTCTGGCCATTCTACTTTGGACAGTAGAGTTTTTAATACATCCTTAAAATGTGGCCAGAATTGAACCTGTTATGTTTGGTTGACCTGTTATGTGTAGTTAACTAGTTCAGAACACAGTAGGGGCTGTTTCCAGTACCTGGACAGGAAGAAAAAAATATTGCTCCTATTTTTGCTGCATTTATCCTTTGTTGGCTTCTTTTCTTCATCCAAACTTTTAAAGGTAAATATTACTTAATGTGATGCTTTATCCTTTTCTCTCTTTATACTAGGCTCCTTGGTTGATTTCAACATCATTATTACAACTATATAGATAAATCATATGCATATATTTATATAGTATATATTTATACATGTACATATATGTACACACACGCACACACACATATACCTAAATCTGTCCTTTCTTTTTCCCAATTTCCAATTTGCTATGAGACATCTGCAATTGGATGGCCTATAGGAAATTAATTCCAACATTTCTATAATGGAACCTATTTACTCCTCACTCACCCTATCTCAGACACAAACTCTTCTTCCTGACTTCTGGGGTGGGGTTGTCACTGTCATATTCTAATTCCTACTTCTCCCTTTACCCCCCACATCCAAACAATATCTGAATCTTGTGACTTCATTTTCTCCAGTACCTTTTAAACTTAGGGTTTTATCAGATACCACTGTAAGCAGTGCAGCACAGAAAAGCTCCACCCATTATATAGAAAGGACAACAAACTATGATGAGTATTCTTCAAAGATTGTCTGAATTACTACTTCCTATAGGGAGACTTTTCTGATATTCCTATTTATTAGTATTCTCTCCCTTTTCAGATGAGCTTTCATTTACTATTTATTTATTTTATTTATCCACCCCTAGAAGTTAAGCTTCATGAGAACAGGAAAATTGTTCTTAAGAATATTAACTCATAGTAAGTGCTTAATAAATGTTTATTGCATTAAATTGCAGAATAGTGAACCTGACAATTGTCATATACAGTATTAAATTGATGTAATCTCACCTTGTACAAGAAATTTTTCCCAATTCCTTTTTATTCTAGTAACTTCCCTCTTCAATTATCTCCAATTTAGCCTGTAAGTATTTGTTTGTATATAATTATTTGCATGGTGTTTTCCCTATTAAACTGTGAGCTCCTTGGGAGTAGAGCCTGTATTCTGCCTTTCTCTGTATCCCCAGCACACAGCCTGGCACATATTAATCATTTAACAAATACTTATTAACTGATTATTGATTAATATAAGTATATGGTGAGCTAGGCTTTTTTTTGGTTTTGTTTATTACTGTTTTTATTACTGGCAGTACTATTTCATAAGCCCAGAAACATTACATCCTTAATATTCCTGACCTAATTTCCTGAACAGTTGATAATCTATTTTAACTTAACTTTGGGCCAGTTCACCTATAAAATGCAGTCCAAACATTAAGAAATTTCAATTTATCCTAAAAGTAGGTACTGCCAGACCTAATGAAACTGATGCAAATAAATCTATTATTTTCCTTTCCTCATTCCAAAAGTGAATTTCCCATTTGGGACATTTAAAGAAATGTAAAATAATTTTTTTACAGCTTCTAAAATCTAATAATGCCAAGAAAAGATGAAAACCTGATTTTCCAAATGTGAAAAGCAAGTGAAGCAGATGTTACTCAAATGGTGAAAACCAACTTAAAACAAATGATTCCTGATATACTTAAATAGTTAACAAAAATTTATTGCAAGAGATATTTCATCACTGGATTTACAGTTTCAAAGAACATAGTACAAAACATAGTGCATCCGCTTTCTAAACATTAAATAGATGCAAGTACACAAAGATTAAAAAACAAAAGGGCGTACTTTACAACATAAATTACAGTACTATAAATATATTTTATGTACATTATACATCATCTAAGACAGTTTAATATACAGTATATAACTCATATTAGTTTGCCACTATTTAGTGCATTAATTATATCATGGGTAAGAACGTTAAGGATACATTTGCATCATTAACTTATAGTAAATGATTTCAAATTAATGAGGCCTTATTTAGGCCTGTTGATTTCCACCATTTACAGATCCAGTTTTCAAATGAAATGAGCACTTGCATACATAGCAGTAGCTTTCACTTGGATATTCCCTTTCCCCCTTCTGATTGGTGATTAAAAGAGAGGTTGGAGAGGAATGACAGTGGGGTGGGGTGAAAGCAGAGAAGGAAAAAGGGCATGGGGTAGAGGGGGAAAAGCCAGATGGCTGGGATGAAGAACTGAAGATGGAATGATAGGCAGCTGAGGAGGTGCAACAAAAGTTGTGTGACCCGCAGGGCAAAGTCTGGGTCCTACTGAAATCTGAGGTAAAGGTGTTCTGGTGAGAGTTGGAACTTGGGAGAGAAACTGTTGGTGGGGCTGGAGTACTTTGAAGGTTCCTGCAGCAGCAGCAGCAGCAGCTGCAGCTGCAGCAGCAGCAGCATGTTGCTGCAGAACTGTGTGGTGGATAGTAGTTACCGAGGTAGAACATAGGGGCTGCTGCAAAGGCAAAGGCTGCAAAGGAGGGCTAGCTGCTGCAAGGTAGGTGGAGCAAAGGTCAACTTGACCTTGGTAGGCAGCAGGGTTGGGGGCATGATGTGTTGGTAGGCCTCACATGGCAGATCTTTGAATTTTTCATGGTTTTCTAAGGGGAACAGTAATGTCTGATCTGGCAAAGCTAATGGAGCAAGGATCTGTTCTGTAGTTAAAAAGGTATGACCATTTATATGTGCTTCTTTAAATGGTAATGGTGGTTGGCTGTTAAGGATTCCTGAATTATACCTAAGCCATTCACTTGCTGCTTCATTCATCTTTTCTTGGGGGAGAGCTTCAGCAAGTTCATAATGGCAAAGATAGGATTTAGGTGGAGATGGACCAAAACTCCTTTCAATGTTAGGCAGCTTCAAAGGAGGAAGGTTTTCACTTTCATGTTTTTCTTTTTGCTCCATCATGTTCTCACTTGGTACCTTTGATAGGGCATTAGATTCAAACACAGAGTCTGGAGAATGTTTGAGTTCAAACATAGAGTGAGGAGAATGTTTGAAAGCTTCTGGAAATTTATCTGGAATATTCTCCATTTGTATATACTCAATTTCTCTGTTAATTTCTGGAGGAATGAAACCAGAGGAGTTCAAAGTTAGCTTGTTCTGCTCTGTCTCTATTTGTTCTGTAGTTCTTGCAAAGTCAATGATAGGTTGTGGTTTTGCTTCTTTTGTGTCCTCCTGGGTCATTAACTCACCCAGGTTATTTAACGAGATTTTTCTTTCAAACAGCTATAACTCAATTTCCTTCTTAGCTCCTGGTCTCTAAATCCAGAACGAAGTCTAGTTCTTTTCCTCCTTCTTTTCTTCTTAGGCTTGTAGGGTTTAGCCAAAGTCCTTCTTGGTTTCAAATGATGTTCAGCTAAACAACTCTGTCTATATAAGCTTTCATCTGATGAGCAAGAGTTTGTATACTGTCTCTTTTTTCGATAAGATCTTTCAGGTTCATTAATAAGTGAATTGTACCCTCTTTTGATGGATGGGTTCTGACCCAGGCATTTCACCTCATTTTGGTGTACTAAACAATTATGGTCCACACTACAGCTAGATGTTCTGATTTTCCAATTACAAAATGTTCTGGAGTATGTTAGGTTATGTTTTCCAGAATTGAACAACATTTGTTTTGTTGGCCCATGTAAAATAGTTTTGCACTTTCATGGAAATTTTTAGAACTGACAGTTTCACCACTGTTCTGCTTTGTATTCCAGATCTTACACATTCTTTCTTTCTTGTGTAGGTAGATGGGCACTGATTTAGGCCTTTTGTCAGGTAATTCATGTGGTTCCTCTAAGTGCTTTTTAGTTAACCAGGTATTTTCACATTCATCACTATCTTTTTCTGAAATTGCTTCCAACTCATGGTTCTTTGCTGCATCAAATGTGATTAGTCTCTGGTTCCATTTTGAAAGAAGCATCTGACTCTTCTTTGGTTACTTCCCCATAATGATGCTGACATAACTTTCTTCTTCTTTTCTTTTTTCTACTTCTGTAAAACCAGTTTTCATGAGTTTCTTTTAACCGTGTTTTATTGTGTTTCTCATCCATAGTGTCTTCCCTTACTTGTTTTTTGGTGGAGATGAATTTATCTGGTTTTCCAATCCTATATGGATCATCTTCAAGCTTTGTGCCTATATCCTCCTTGCTCTTTCCAAAATCATAGCCTTTGGTATAATTATCAGTTATAAGTGATATGGCATGGCTATACTCATTTCTGCTACTTCTAATTTCATAACCATTGGCCTCTGCAATGGAATCATCCTTGCAATTTATATCTGGACTCCTGCAAGAATCTTCAGTCATTTGCTGAGAATGAAGAACATTTAAATTATGTTTATTTTTTTCAAGACTGTTTCTTGATCGAGTAGACTTAAAGTCAAAGCATAGAGGATTACAACTATAAGAAACTGATGGTTTAGTACTTGTATAAATCAACATTTCAGATGGCCATTGAAGAACTGTTGATCCATACTTACTAAGCACAGGCACAAAAGGCTCCTGTGGTCTTCTACATATGTCCTCTCTATTCTGCAGAGTTGTGCTATCCCCATCAATATTTGGAGGGACCAAAATTTCAGGTGCCAGTGTTTTACCTTCAGATTCATTAAGGGATGAATTGCTGCAAAGATTCTTAGAATTTTCCTCTTGGGTAGTGGGTAAAGACAAACATTCATTATCAATCGAAATAGCTGTTGATTTATTTCCTAATAGTTCAGATCCATTAGAGTCTACAGATGTGTCTTGATTAGTAATGACATCTTTGGGTTTTGTCTGATCTGTTAAGACAGTTGGATTTATGTTGCCCTCAGAATCAGCTGACAATGGTAGTTTGGGCTGGCAAAAAGGGAGCACTAATAAAGTATCATCTTTATTCACAGCCTTCTTTTGTCTCTATAGTTTCAGGAGTTTCTTCTTTTTCAGAGTACATCTCCCCAAGAGGATGAAATGAATTTGGCTTCTCTTCAGGATTCAAAACTACTTCTGTTGGTAAAGACAATAGACGGTGACAAATTCCAGGGACAAATCTACTTTTTCTGTTAAAACCATTTTCTGTAGAAGCATCATCATTGTATTCAGAGAAAGCTGCAGCTGAAGATTCCAGCTTCACTGATGCTTTCTTTGGAAAGGCAAAAGAAAATCCAACTTTCTGCCCATGGACTCCTGGAGCTTGGTCTCCAAGATTGTTGGGTTTTGCTTGTGATTATTTGAACTTTCTGGAGCTGAAGCAACAGCATCAGCATCTTTAACATTCTGATAACTGTGAATCATAGTATCCTTGAATTCTTCCTCTTTATTTACTGAATCTACCACATCTCTTCGTGAAATTTCATTAAAATTCTCTCTCACTGTAACAGTGGTTGACCTGAACATAGGACCACTCCCAGGAGCACTGAAAAACAAAATAAAACAAAAGTATCATATTTAAGAATGTAAGAATGATGATTAGGAGGACAAACATTTGAGCTTATTGTATGCTAATATCTTTATCAAATTATGCAATTCAGGGAAAGATATTCTTTTAGATATGAATCAGCTTTAAATGAAGTGGACATTTCCCTAGTGTATGAATAACAATTCATTTCACACAACATAACAGTATGCACATTTATCTGTTTTAACTTCAAAATCACTTTTACAAATGAGTTCTTATATTTACTTTCCATGCAGTATACTTTATTAATGGCACTGATATACGTATTCAAATGGTTTTAAATCTCATGTGTTTTGGCATCAACATAGCATTGCTAGAATCTACCATCCAATTCACTATAAAACAGAAGTGGGTATGAGTTATTTTTATCTTAATTCTTCTATAAAACGGTTAAGTTGCTAATGTTAAAAGGATCTCTTTGAAGTGGTTTCATGTTATGAACCTGGAGGATAGCAATGCTTGCATCTCCTAATGTGGCTTTCTACCAAGATCCTACCAGATCAAAAAGGGCCAGTTATGATGAATGCTTTAAATATAGTTCAATTTTATTTAGTGTAGTAAGTGATTTGGGTGTCATTGGTTAAACAAGAATAGTTTTTCATAAAGATATTCTCAAACACATTTGCAATTTTTTTTTTTATTCTGAAAGTAGGTTCTTGGAACAAATCACTGGTGAGCAATTTAAAAGCAAAGGTCAAGAGATGGTGCAGTGATATCTTCACTCAAGTGTCTTCAAGTTTCCACTAAGAGAACCAGTCAACCAATGCTTCCAACCACTATAGTTTAAATAGAAATAGAACTTGTAGGGTTTTTTTTAAAATAAACTAAAAATATGTGTCATTTTAGCCTCCTCTGAAATGTGCATTTAAACAGGTTTCTGCATAAAATTCCAATTCAAATTACTGCTTACAGCCCACGGAAAGCCATGAAAATGTATGTGCCGTATTCTGAGAGTGGATATAAATAGAAATATGCCCTTCATTTCTACCTCCAATTTTCTTCTGGAATATCTTTTTTTTTAAAAAAAGTTTAACATTTCATTCCATTCTCACCACGTGGCTTTCTTCCGTAGCTCAGCCAGCTTGTGTAGTCGTTGAAGAGCCTTTTCCTGTTTTCTTTCATCTTTCCTGGATTTAGATGCTATATTTCGAGCAAATTCTCTTTGTTTTAATTCCTTGAGCCTCTGTTAGGAAAAGAAATGTGGAAAGTAAAAGAAATTAATAGTATGTGGTGCCATGGAAATCCTGATTAATTTTTTTTAAAGTACATTTTCCAAACTTTTAACTTTTATATTTTGACTTCTAATAATGCTATAAAGCCATGATAAAACATTGCTGACCATTTGTGCTCTGCAAATGTGTATGTAGTCTTGGATGATTTAAATGGCTCCAGAGTTCAATTCTCCTGCCTCATGGTCTAGAAAGGAGGCTGGATGGAGATCTAGTTGTAGTAGGGTAAGCTTTAAGAGTTTGAATAGATGAGAGATCAGTTGTGTTGTGTGATTCCAGAAGAATAAGCTAATATAGAGTTCAAGAGAATGCAGACAGAATGATTGAGTGCAGGGTCTAAGGTGAGTGATGGAAGGCAACAGAGATATGAGTCATAGTTTGAGTAGGGAATGTATCCAAATTGGTGAAGTAGGGGAACATGGCTTAGAAGTAAAATGTAATATGGGCATTTTCCCTATCCAACTCATGGTCAGCTGCCAAGAGTTAGTTCATATAAAACTTAAAGGAGAAAAGCCGAGTGAGGAAGTAAGAAATATGTGGGAAATCAAAAGGATCAGACTAGATTCCATGTAATCAACTAATAGTAGAATGCTCCTCTCCTTGCATAAGGACTCCCACTAATCATTTGCATTTTGAGAATAACTGAGCTGCACAGAACTGAAGAATAATAGGGCATATTAAGACTATCTCTCCTGGAAGAACTCCCTGGTTCTTGGTGACTAGGCTTGGGTTGTGTTATTGTTCAGTCATTTTCAGTGGTCAATTTTTCATGACCCCATTTTGAGTTTTCTTTGCAGATATACTGGAGTTGTTTTTTATTTCCTCTGAGTAAACTGAGACAAACAGGTTTAAATAACTTGCCTGGGGTCACACAGCTAGTGCCTAAGGACATATTTGAACTCAGGAAGATAAATCTTCCTGACTCCAGACCCAGCACTCTCTCTATTGTACTACTTAGCTACCCATATTTGGGTAAATAAAACCAATTCTAGAGCTTAGATGTTCTAAACAAACTTTTTTGTGTATTTTTAAAGCAGATATCCTTCCCAATAGACCAGAAACTAATCATGATGGTATCAATAATCTAGTAGATTTTAATTCAAAAATTCTGTCTAGTTATTGTCTTATAAATGCCACCCATAGTCACATGGAGTAGTCCCTATGTTCTAGGTTCCTTGTATCAACTTGAGTTCTCAGTTCCAGAAACAGACTTTGAAGAGCTCAGGAAATATCCAGGCTAGGAGAGGTAGCGCGTAGATATAATTCCTAAAACTGAGAAAAGCTGAAGCTGGTAGACCTATTGATTTTGAGAGTTCTGAGCTATAGAAGAGTTAAAGGCAATTATCAGGTATGCCCAGTAATTCTGGTACCAGTATGGTATGTCCCAAACTCCCAGAGTAAAGGGACACCAGGCTTTCCAAGGAGGGGTGAACTAGACCAGCTTCAAAAAACAGAACAGGTCAAAGCTCCAGACTGAAAAGTATTGGGATCAGGCCAGCGAGTGGCCACTGTGCTTCCACTGTACTTCTAGGTAAGATAGAGAAACCCAATCTAAATAAAATATTAAAAATATCTAATTTATATAAGTGGTTCAAGAGCAAATCTACTTAGTGCACTTTTTGTCATTCATGTTGATATGTAAAAAACCATATGGTGGGGATACTACAACTAACTTGCTGTCTCTGTTTCTTTGTCTCAGTCAGTTCATCTCTCTCTGTCTCACTCCCTTCCATATTACTGTTGAATCTTTTCCACTCATTCACTCTCTACATAACCTTTCTCAGATAAATATTGACTTACTTAACATATCACTTAATATAAATGCTTCCTACAACATTAGGTGTTTATCTATGATCCTTCCCTCATCATACATTTTTCAAACTCAAATATGTCCAATAGGAATGAGTCATTTCTTATACCTTTAAATCATCCCAGGCCATCAGGGAGCACACTATCATTGGGCCTGTGGTCTTAGGTACACCAGTGGTACTCTCTATTTCTGAAAGCCATCTATTAACACTAGGGATACTCTGGCCTAGTTGGATATACCTAGTGATCCCTCTGGACTTTCTGAGAGTTTTGTACTGAAGAAGGTGTTCTGTCTAGAATTCTTTGAGGTTAAGTAGCTGAACTATTGAGAGGGTTCCTATAACCTTCCTTATCTATTAATTTCTGAAAAGGAAGCCTAGATTAGACATTATATATTGAAAATCCAAACCTAATCTCCATTTTGACAAGGTAGCTAAATTCCGAGGGTCAGCCAATAGTCTGACATACTAGATATTCCACAAATAGGACACTTCATCATTCAGCTCCAGACATTTTCTCTGGCTGTCCCTCATGCTTGAACATTCTTCCTCAACTCCAACTATTCACCTCTCTGACTTCCTTTAAGTTCCAAATAAAATCCCACTTCTACAGGAAACCTTAATTTCAGTGTCTTCCCTCTTTTAATTATTTCTATATTTTCCTGTATGTAGCTCACTTTGCATATATTTGTTTGCATGTTGACTCCCTAATAGATTGCAAGCTCCTTGAAGGCAGAGACCATCTTTCATATCTTTTTGTACCCCCAACCCTTAGCACAGAGCTTGACACATAATAGATGCTTAGTAAATGCTTATTGATTGACTGATTGCTTTTATGGATGGATTTCTACCCAGGGGGAAAAATGATTTATAAATGGATAAGTGAATAGTTTTTCCAAGTATAAGTTTGTTATGAACACTGTAAGATGTGATTGGTAATTGCTAATTACCAATGAATGATTGGTAATTGAATAAGTAAAATCTAGCCCTCTACACCTGGCTAAACCAAGACTCCTTATCATGCTTTATTTTCATATCACATCCAGTCATCTACCCAGGCTATTGTGTCAACTGATCTGCCTGCCATCTGCACATTGTCCTTGCCCTCCCTTTTCTATCTCTTATTCTAGGCACAGTAATCAATCAATAATATCACTGCTTGCTCTTTTTTGTGGTGGCAAAAAAAAATGGAAATTGAGAAGATGCCCATTAATTGGGGAATGCCTAAACAAACTATGGTATATGAATGTAATAGAATATTAGTTTGCATAAGAAATGATGAGCTGAGTGAGGTGGACTTTAGCAAAACCTGGAAAGACATATATGAACTGATGCAAAATGAAATAAGCAGAACCAGATAATTGTACACAATAACAGGAACACTGTGTTATGATAAACTGTGAATGACTTAGTTTTTCTCAGCAATATAATGATCCAAGACAATTTTAAAGTACTCATGATTAAAAAAATGCTATCCACATCCAGAGAAAGAACTAATTGACTCTGGATGCAAATCAAGGCTATTATTTTTGCTTTCTGTATTTTTTCATTTTTTTTAATTTTAGTCTATGTTTTCTTTCACAACATGACTAACATGGAAACATGTTTTACATGATTGCACATGTATAACCTACATCAAATAGCTTCACAACATGATACATACATGTTTTACATGATTGGCACATGTATAACCTATATCACTCAAAATTTTGTAAAAATGAATGTTAAATTATCTTTACATATAATACTATTAATAATAAAACAAAAACATAATATTATTACTCATGGACAGCATACAGTTTGACTGCACTGTGTGTCAACTCACTGTTCTTAGGACTCCTCAGACTAAAACTTTCTTCCCTGATAAAGAAACATCTCTTAGATATGTTGTCTCTACAAATTAGAATGTTAGCTTTTGAAAGTAAGGATGATCTCTCTTTTTTTCCTTATGGGTATCCCCATAAATTCAGAGCCCAGCTCTGGGCACATGACAAGTATTTAACAGGGTTTTTTTCTTCACTGATTGATTAGTCAATGATTCTATTCATGAAGTCATGAACATTTGGAGATTTAGTGGTAAAGATAGGTGTTTTTAGGGTGGTAGATCAGCTAAGTTAATGTAACAAAATCTTGCTCTACAGAGAAAATGATATTGGTGGTAGGAAATGCAACACCAGAGATATTTAAAGGTCAAATTTTCTCATTTGGTGTGGCTTTGAGAAGGGGTTGATGGGTCATTGAAGTACCAATAATAGCTGGCATTTAGGTAGTGCTTTAAGGTTTGCCACAAGTTTTCCTAATATTGATCTTGTAAAGCAGGTAGTATAAATGTTATTATCTCAATTTTATAGATGAAGTAACTGCTATTTCTTCACAGTATCTTTCCCTTCTATCCCTTTAATCAATGTTTGCTGGATTAAATTGAATTGAGGTTCTAAGTGGCTAAATGACATGTTCATAGTAGCTAATTATTGTTTCAGGTAGAATTCAAAGCCTTGCTTCCCAATTCCAATTACAGTGCCCTATTGACTATACCACTCTGTCCTCCTGGTTTCAAAAAGTAAAATGCTCTCCAAAACATTGGAAATATTCTAGTTCATGGTCTGAGATAATGTGCTCATGGTATCTATAATCACGAAAGATCATTTGGATAATTAAAGATGCAGTTTCTATACCTCTGGGTAGCGCAGTAGAGTGTATAAAGTGAGTCTTTTATGCAAAGCAAACTATTAGAGTGATAGAATTCTAATCCTGGGATGCTGACAGATCTATTTTATGACTAGCAACAGGGAGAGATTGATGTTAGATGAACCCCAAGTGGGAGATGGTCTCTAGTAGCTGCTAGAAGCCCTGGATCTTGGGTAGAGTAAAGGAATTCTCTGCTCAGTATTTGGATCTACTGTCAATTCAATTGCATAATTTGAGGAACAATATGGTAGCAAAGGATCTAATTCTTTAATTTTGGATATGTCAACAAAATCTTGGTTAGAATAGATATGGCAGTTCCAGAATGATTACTGGTGGTTTTAAGTGGCAATGACTTACTGCTACTTGAGTGGTTTCTCAAAATTTTGGGACAAAATAATGGAAACCCAAATGCTCCACTTGATGCCACCATTCTACATACATGCAGGTCATGGAATGCT